AAATGATAACCTATTTGCTATCTGTGACAAAAAATAGTCTTCCGTTTGCATGGAAAAGTAACTTTAAAACCTACAGGGACCGACCTCAAACGCATTAAGAAAGAATTTGCTTTTCTTCACGTGACGAGTACAATCAGTGAAATAAATCTAGCGCACTTCAGGACATAAGGTCAAAGTAGTATCCGGTAGATCAACAAAAACAAGTGGCATTACTTAAGGTAAGAAAAACAAGCTCCAAAGGTATTTGGATCTCCTATTTTTGGGAAAAAATTATTTTTCTTTGCTATCTCAAGTAGAAAAAAAAGAAGCAGGAATACATTGTAACACTGCTGGTTTAGTATTGAAGTTCAGAATTTCACGGCTCTAGTTTGATCTCCAGGTGTGAACTTTTACTTGTAATTTAAATTTTCCCGGCATTGTTTCTGAGCTTTAGATAACAAGGATGTATAAATTAACAGCGGACAAAGTTTTGATTTCTACAACTCATACATGTTCTTAAATATTTTTTTTCTGTTGTTTTAAAGAAGTCCATTTCGTGCAGTGCTTATAAGAAGTCCTTCGACCCTTAACCCCTTCAAAAGAATGCGCTTTTCTTGAGATGAATAAAAAATATTTGTGTAGAGAGAATGACTTTGGGAATAAACACTTCTGTACAGTTTTTTACGTCTGAAAATCTTCCCTTCCAGGACTGCTCTTAATCGAAAAAAACCTTTCGGCTTCTACTCGGCTTCAATTTGTCTGTTTAGGCAAAGGAAGGGCCACTTCTACCCTGCATTTAGCTTCAGGTTACCGCGATATCAAAATAACTCCAAAGTCGAAGGCTCTCACCAAACCTTTACACTGGAATTCATTGTACATTACCCTAAAATAAGGAACACGAACATAAGTTACCATCGTCGCTGGTGATGCTTGTGGAATTTCGGAGTTTCTGGGGCGAATTTAAAGCGTTCTACTTCCAGCGGATTCATTCGGTTGGCGTTATCTTGCATAGGATTCTGAAGAGAGCAAGGTAGATCAACTAAAACCAGCAAAATTGACCTAAATCAGCCCTAAATCAGCCCTCACTTTTGCGGAGGCAAGAAAATTTCATCATAACCTTCCATTTTAAGAGTGTGTTACGAAATAAAAACAAAACAAAACAAAAACAAGCAATTACTCAGTACTAATGAAAGATGAAAAAATTACCGGCACATAGCTGCTTTGCAGCAACGCAGTTGGAATGAAAAGGAAAAAATATGTGATATGAAGAACCTATAAGCTTACAGGCTTACAAATCCATACAAAACTTGAGAAATTAGATAAAACTGTCATTGTAGAGAACAAACCCGAAAAAAAAAATATGCAGGTAGATCGGTCTTATGTGCTATCCTGTAAGTTCCTTTCCACAAAGATTATCTCTCATGTAAGTTGTGTAGGTTTAGTAAACAAATTTATCATCTCCGTAATTTAGACCTTTCTTTAATGTGCGGGACAGATGAAAACATTGCACATCGGCTTCATCAATGCCACCTTATCTTTGATTGATTTGTTTTCTTCATCTTCACGAGGGCTTCACGAGGGCGCATGCCTTTGAAAAGTTGGAAGTCCTCAAAGGTCTCATAGTGAGTTTTACAAGAAAAATAACTCCCAGTGCATTGTTTGGTTAAAGGTGATAATAGGAGACTTCTAAGTTCTTCCTTATAACTGCTATTTATGTCAAAAATTATGGTTTCCTGCTGGAATTAAAAAGACACTTAGAGAAAGGAAGGGTTGTTCTTGGACTTTTGACTCGCAAATCAGTGAAAATAAACTACTGGGATGCTAGACGTGAGGTCGAAATGAAATCCGACAGAATGACACAAACAAAAATGAATAACATTACTTAGCGTAAGATGAACAATTAGCCGCAGGAGCATTTGTGTTCCTTAAATGTTATTAGCTACTTCTCAGGTCAATTTGCATTTGATTAAATACAGTTTCCTATTTGTCTGGGGGTTTGATGCCTTATGGAGGTCGTCAATGAATGCTGCACGAAACAAACTTCTAAAGAGCAAAAAACAATTTCTATCACAAACAATGGTATGATTAAGGGAAATAATCTAAAGCAAAATGTATGAATTTGCAAGAAAACTTGTCATTGAGTATCTTCTGGTTGTAAATAAAGGGTTTCTGATGTTGCGCAATTTTTAAAGCATTGAAAAGAACTAGAGATTTGTGTTGCAGATGATTTGCCTCACGCGCAAAACAGAAAACCTGCCACATCCCACATATTTATGAGTACCCTGCTCCACAAGAGAAAGATGATTCAAGAATACATTGCGTAATTGACATTCAAACAATATTTTAATGGTATCAAATAATAATATTAACAATTATAACAATAGTAATAAAATAATAATTTAAAGCGGCTAGCTCGAAAGCCTCATGATTCCCCTCTCCTCTCGGTTTCAACAATGATTATGCCCTCTTTTAAAAGAAAAACATTCTCCTGGAGTTTCATGATGCCCCGATCACTCCTCTTAAGATATTTTTGCAAGAAAAAAAATTTGTTTTTAACAGCGTGCAATCCTGAAATGATTGTGAGATGCTTATCGTCTTCTGCTATCTTCCATAGTGTCACGGCAAGAAATGGACATATGATGCGCTAGTGGCTCTAAGCCAGAAATCACAAAATCCGTGAACTCAACTGTGTATCGAGTGCGAATATCGAACTACTAAGGTACTCCGAAACAAACACTAAATGGCACCGAGAAACATGGTGTCAAAGTGGGTGAAGAATTGGAATTTTACTGTTGCACTCACCTACTCATCTCGACGACATATGAGGCTTGGCCTCCTGTAGAATCCTAGGAGGCAGCATGGCCAAAAAAATCAGTGTAAGAAATATACGAATCTGCAGGATATGATGTCGAAATGAAATTCAAATGAAAATTAACAACAAATTAGAAGTGGATCAAACTTCTCGGGACGACTTTGATACCAATTTGTTGTCGACTTTTATCACGTTAAGTGTTAGATCACTTTACAGCATTGAATAATAAGCACTTGTAAGTGACGTGTAATTGCAAAACTAAAAGGCTCTTGAAATCCAATTGGTTAAACATTGCCATGATGTATTTTTGCGCGCTTACCATCGTTCTGCACCTCTTGCAATTAAACCAGTAGACCCAATTGTACATTGGGAGATACATTTGTTCCTGTAGAATTTTGTGAGAAATAAAAAAACTTTGAACGCCGATCTAGAAACTCCTCAAGAGTGACAAAATATTCTGGCAGTAGATTTGAGTGGGAAAGTAGGACAATGAAAAAAATTAAAAAAAAACTTTACAAGGCATACAAAAAAAGCTCACAACTAGAGCTTAAGGTAGAATACTGCCCAGAGTTGATGGGCAACTGTTAGGGAGATGCCCGCCCACTGAAAATTTTCCAGAGAGGGCAATAATGCAATAAAAATATTTTTGGTTTTATAAATAAATCAGGATGATGATGTATTATCTGTCCAAATCATTTTGTATAAAGCATTAATTGGCAAAGTTTAGAAGGAGGTTGTGTTATAATCATATGCACATGTGAGGCTTCTTATTCTCTGAACATATTATTTGGCAATTTCCGTGACCTCATTATGGTATGTTATTGTGAATTAAATTTTATATTTAGTTTCCTCCATATAAGATCAATTCTTTTTTCCAGTTGTACACATTTTTATGTGTGAAAGTTTCAAATTTAAAATGCATTGAGAATAAGAGAACTATTTTGTATTAGTGCTTTATTGAGGTGTATGATTATATGACATACATTAATTGATACAATTACAAATTTAAATTGATTAAGAAAAATATCCTGACCTTTTTAGATGATAGGTTAAATTTATATCTCCTATCGTATCAGTTCAAATCATGTTTCTTAGTTTCCAGAATTGAGAATACGATATTTGAATTGATAGATTTTTGTGTTAGGTATTACTTTAGCCAGTTATATTGTATATTTTTAAAAGTGCAGTCAGAATAAGAGAACTATGTTGTATTAGTGCTTTATTAAGGTGTATAGTCATATTTGATAAGCAATACATATGCAAAAAAAAGGCAAGTAATAGATACAATTACAAGTTTAAATTGATTAAGAAAAATATCCTGACTTTTCAAATGATAGGTTGAATTTATATATTTTTTTATTATTTTATCAGTTCAAATCATGTTTCTCAGTCGCTAGAACTGAGAGTATAATATTTGAATTGATAGCTTTTATGTAGTGTATTACTATAGCCAGCTATATTCTGTACATATATTTTAGTGATGAAGATTCTATTGCATACATGATTGAGATTATATAAATTATACAAAAGAGAGACAACTTTATTAAAGTATGACAGTTAGTTATTCGTAATGTTTGGACATTTTTTTTTTATTTATGTAAGGGTCTAAGTTGGAGAAGTCCAGATATCCCCAGCTTCATTGTGGGTTTACTTGTGGGAGCAATTGAGTTTTTTACAAAATTATTTCATCACTGCAATTTCAAATATTTTGTAATAACTTGCATGTGTCATTTTTCCTAACAATTTTAAGGTTGCCCAAAATATAAATTGTATTAATATATGAATATGGGTGTGATAAGGCAAATCGAAAGTCAATCGAAAGTGAAGCTTTAAAAAGCACTGAAAGGTTACTTAAAGATGAATATTAACAAAACTTGAAATTTAAGAAAACCTGAAATCAAAACTAAATTTGAATTACAACAAAAACTGCAATTTTAAGTAGTACCTAAAAGGAAACAAAAGATTACAGAAACCTTTAAGATGCCTTTAAAAGTGAAGTTTTGGTCTACTAAAGACGAGTTTCCGAGATTTAGGAGAATTCTTGAGGTCCATTAAATGGTTATTTGGGTTTGCTTTCATGTGATCCTAAAGTCTGGTTGACAAGGAGACTCTAATTGACTTCTGAAAGCTAAATTAAAGGTTCATTACAGAACTTTTGTACATCACTTAAAAATTTCTTAAATGTTTCTAATGTTAGTCTTTAAGTTAC